TCTGTCTATGTCCTCGTCCGTTGAACTATGATTTTGCTTCAAATTACTCTCTGATGGTTTAATCGACTGCGTCACTGCAGCAAAAGGTATAGGCAGTTCCAACTCAAAGCTGTCATCTGGTTCGTGAATACCCTCATCAGCGACATCGGCAGATTCCATGCTAAAAGTAAATCTGATCGAAACTGTGATTAATTGCAGAAAACAGAATGACAAGAGTGTCAAGACAATTCATTTCACAAAGGGGTGACACAAAATATTATAGAACTTATTGAAATCCTCATTTTTCAAAATATGAATTACTAACCAAAGATAATAGAAAATTTTGTGTGTAGTGGGCGCCGCCGGGAATGAGCCATCATTTGGTCAGTACAAACAATGTGAGCCCCATTAGTGAAACGGTTAACGAACATAATTTAGGGAACAATTTAATTTATTTTATATAAACCGAGTGTAATTCGCAGGGAATTCTCTTGTTCTGCTTGCAAATTATGCTCTTATACGATGGTTCCATTTAATTATTTACCATTTTCTACATAACTCTAAGTTTCACATAATTGTACTGTAGGACGTCTTAATTTTGCATACAGTGGGCTTTTTCAACTTGGGCGATTAGGATAACGTTAATGTGATTGACAAGTTGTAATGCTCGCTACAAGATTTGTGGTCTATATATTGGTTAAGTATAAACACTTAAAGATTTACGAATTGGTGACACAGGGAATGATGTGTATATGTAAAACAACAATAGTGAAAACAGCATTCAAATGAGAATTTAGCACTTGAAATCGCACATTATGAAACCTAATTGATATACTCGAGTAAAATCTGAGACGAAGATGCAAACACCGTGGAAGGGTTCGGGCTTCTGAGTAGTATGCATAAGATTCCGACTGCATTCTCTTAAACTACCTGTGTACGCAATTTCTAAGAAAACCAACAAATTGCATTTGGTAGCAAAATTTACAATTGAAATTGAACAATAGCTCTGAATAATTTTGATAGCAAACAAAAGTGATTTCTTCATTATTCTGACGGCGTA